GAGGAGAGGCATGGGGAGAGATTAACCAAAGATCTTATATGCAAAGATCTTAGAAGCCCTTGGCCTGGCCTGTGCCCCAGGACCCTTTGGGGGATGTCGGACTGCTGGTTTCAGCCCGATCCCCATAGGCCAGGCTAAGGGGGCCCACCAGTGCATGAATCCATCTGCCCCCTGATGGTCAGTGCACATTACAGCTACTCACCGAACAGTCAAACGGTTGAACGGTCAGACACTTAGCATATTAGGCTTTTATATATATATATATGTATATGTATAGATATGCATTACATATGGACACAGATAATAGGGTGGTGAAGGCCTGTGGTGGGGCTGGAACTGGGTGGAGGGAGGCAATGGGGAGGAAAAGGGGATATCTGTAATACTTTCAACAATATAGATTTTTTTAAAAGAGGTTTTGCCCATAATATCAAAAGACAGCACAAAATTATTATAATAAGAAAAAGCTGACAGTTATGCCCCAGATGGGACTATTAACCCCTTCTCATTTTCAAATGCCAATGGAAAAATTAAAAGATAAATGTTAATTCTTCTTGAAAGACCAAAGAAATTAAAGTCCAAAATAAATATTCTTGCTTTTGTGAATGAAAAGACCAAAGATATGCTCATGCCTCCTTTCTCTTCTCCTGCATTCTAGCCACACTGTCAGTAGCAGATTGTGGTCAAGAGATCAGTTACATGAAGGGAACTCCAACAAATACATCCATCAGTGCATTGAGCATAACAGGAGCCAGTTTACTATGGAAAGGAGATAGGCCATACTAAACACTGTGGCCAGCCATGTGGCTCAGTGGTTGAGAGTTGACCTATGAATCAAAAGGTCACGTTCAATTCCTGGTTAGGGCATATGCCCATGTGTGAGTTCGATCCCCAGTGTGGAGCGTGCAGGTGGCAGCCGATCAATTATTCTCTCTCATTATTGATGTTTCTATCTCTCTCTCCCCCTTCCTCTCTGAAATCAATAAAAATATTTTTAAAAATCCTATATAATAAAAGCCTAATATGCTGTGTCCAGTCATCCATTCAACCAATCAAAGCATAATATGCTAATGATATGCTAAGGTCGCTCAACTCATTATGATGTTCACTGACCACCAAGGGGCAGACCCTCCAACTGGTAGGTTGGCTTGCTGCTGGGGTCTGGCCAATCAGAACTGAGCGAGATGGGCCAGATACACCCTGGAGCCCTCCCGTGGCCCCTCCCCAGATGGCCAACCTCCTGTGTCCTTCCCCAGCCCTGATCATGCACCAGTGGGGTCCCTCAGCCTGGTCTGCTCCCTCTCACAATCCAGGATCCCTCAGGGGGGCACATTGACTTTCAGATAGTTCCTATATAATAAAAGCTTAATATGCAAATCGACCGAATGGTGGAAATCAAACAAACAGCAGAACTACTGGCTGCTATGACATGTACTGACCACCAGGGAGCAGACGCTCAATGCAGGAGCTGACCCTTGGTGGTCAGTGTGCTCCCACAGCAGAAGCGCTGCTCAGACGACCGACCCATCCCGGGGGCCCACAAGCCTGTTCAGCCAGAAGCTCTGAGCCGGGCTCATGACTGGTAAGCACAGAGGTGGTGGTAGGAGCCTCTCCTGACTCTGCAGCAGTGCTAAGGATGTCTGACTGCCGGTTAGGGCTCCTGGGCAGCGAGAGGGCACAGGCTGGGCTGAGGGAAACCCCCCACCCCAAGTGCAAGAAATTCGTGCACCAGGCCTCTAGTAAATAAACACTGTGGTCTTGGCTTGGAATTGAAGGTGTAGGTGTGAATTTAGGGTCTTTAAATGTAGATATTGTTAGTTAGGATTCTCCAGAGAAACAGAACCAATAGGATATGGGAGAGAGAGAGAGGAAAATTGTAAGGAATTGGCTCATGTGATTCTAGGGGCTGACAAATCTGAAATCTGTAAGGTATGCCAGCAGGCCAAAGACTAACAAAAGAGTTGATGTTACAGCTCAAGTCTGCTGACAGCATCCCCTCTTTCCCTGGGGATCGCAGTCTTTCTCTGAAGGCTTTAAACTGATTGGATGAGGCCCACCCACATTATGGAAGGTAATCTTCTTTACTCAGTCTACTGAATTAAATGTTTATGTCATATTAAAAAAAATACCTTCACAGTCGCATCTAGATTTAACCAAATCTCTGGATACTAGAAAAGCCAGGCTCAACCCCTTATCTCCCACAGGCTGTCAAGAGTAAGAGAGGCCAGAGCTGGGGAAAGATAGGAGCTTTGATGGGTAGGAGTAGGCTGGATTGGGATTTGGGTTTTTTGTTTTTGTTTTGGCTTTTGCTTTCTTCCTATCTTTATTTCCTTTATAAATTTTTTGTTGTTATCTGAAAGTTAAAAAAAAAACAAAAAAAGCCAGAGCACATTCCTGAGAATTTTTTGAAGAGTTAGGAGATAGGAGACTGGAGACCTGATTTGAAGAGGTGGGAAGGAAAATAGAACTGTTTTCCACTCATCTTGTCTTGAGTCCAGATGGTTCCATAAACACCAGTAAGACATCAGAAACATTCTTGGAGAGGAAGAGAAATGAACCCAATGTGTTTGGGCCTTACAGTTACTTTAGGAAATGTCAGAAGTAAAACTTTCTGTTCTGAAGAACTGTGACCCTCTCTGTCCTGAAGTCCACAGAGAACGGGCACATCCAAAAGGCAGGCTGGCTGAGCTGTGCAGTAGCTCCTGGTGGGATTTTAAATGAGCTCCCCGGGGTGGTTTCTGCAGTATTTTGAAGATGACTCGGCCAGCCTGTCGGAACACATTGGTGGAAGGCAAGTGGGCAGGAGAGAGGTGTTAAGGTTTCTCAGAGCAGGCAACATCTGGGTTGGAATGATAAACAGTAACAACATTCATAAATGCTAAGATATAATACTTACTGGGAGCTGAGTGTGTTATAGACACTCTTCATGACCTTTTTAAATTCTTAATGATTCAGGTACTATTAATATTACAGACTAGAGGCCTGTTGCACGAAGAGATTCATGCAATAGGCCTTCCCTTCCCTTGGCTGCTGGCACCGGTTTGCTCTGGCACCCAGGATTCAGGCCTTCGCTTCTGGGCCCAGGCTCCTGCAGGAGCCAGCCCCGGAGCCGTCAGGCTTCACTGCTCTCGGCCCCGGGGCCGTCCGGCTTCGCTCCGCCTCTTGGAGCCTACGTATGCAAATTAACCACCATCTTTGTTGGGTTAATTTGCATACTCTCCTGATTGGCTAGTTAGTGTAGCAAAGGTACGGTCAATTTGCATGTTTGTCTATTATTAGGTAAGGTGATAACACTGAGATAAAGAAGGTCTGAGAAACTTGTTCAGGGTCACAAAGCTACTAAGTGACTGCAGAGCTGGTCTGCAGACTCAGGCTAGCCTACTCTAATGCTATTCTGTTTGATTGACAAGTAGAAATTGTTGGGTGGGGTAGGACCTCCAAGTGCAAGGGCATAGAGACTTGGCAGCATGGTGTGTCTGAGAACTTGCATGCTGAGTATCAGGACTGGTAAAATGCCCAGTTTGGATGGGGGAGCGGGAAGAGAAGACTAACATGAGTTAGTGGCCAGGTAAGCTGGCAGCAGATCGTGAACAGTGCTATTTTGTGCACCGTGCAAAGGGAGTTGGATTTTAGCCTGTTAGAGATGGAGAGAGTTGCATTTTAGATAGATCATTTTGGTCACAGTGTGGAGATTGGTTGGAGAGCACAAAAGGGGAGGGAGGGAGGCAAGTTAACAGGCTATTACAATAGCCCAGGCTAGCAAGGCAGTGGGATAGGGAAGGAGAGGGTGGGTTTAGGAGACATTTAGGAGTGGACTGAATAGATTTAGTGAAATGGTGAGGGAGTAGAGGGGCTTAAAATGACAGAAATAGGTTTCAGGCTTGTGCTTCTGTTAATGGGGGAAGACAGAATGGATGACAGTGAAGATGGTAAACTGTGTTTGGACTTGTTGCATTTGAGATGCTTTTGTAGCACCCAGGGCACTAGTGGGGTAATGTGTCTTGGCCTCTGCAAAGTGTTTTATTTGTAGGCTTAGCTATGAATAAATGGGAAGAATAGGTTACATAATCAATTCTGTTCTTTAAAAGTTACCCAATTTAGCCCTGGACAGAATTAGTCAGTAGTTAGAGCATCAGCCCACACACAGAAGGATTGCAGGTTCGATTCCTGGGTTGCAGATTAGCTCCTCACCCCCAGTTGGGGCGAGTGTGGGAGGCAGCCAGTTGATGTGTCTCTCACACATCGATGTTTCTGTCTCTCCCTCCTCCCCTCCCTTCCACTCTCTCTGAAAAGCAATGGAAAAAAATATTCTCAGGAGAAGATTTTTAAAAAATCACCTAATTAAAAAAGCAGTTATTACTATATAGATTATTGTTTTCACTTTTTTATGTCTACTGCACATTTATATACTGATTATTTTTATTAGTGGCTGTGTAGACTATGTCAGTGTTATGTTCCTGGCTGGACTCTTAATTCCACCTCAAAATATTCCTCTTCTCAGTCTACTGGTATTCATTATATAACAGAGCAATTTATTTTTTTTAAATCCTCACCCAATGTGCTTATTGTTTTTAGGGAGAGGAAGAGGGAGCGGGAGAGGGAGAGGGAGAGGGAGAGGGAGAGGGAGAGGGAGAGGGAGAGGGAGAGGGAGAGAGAGAGAGAGAGAATATCTATGTGAGAGAGGAAAAATCGATTGGTTGCCTTCCATACACACTGACTGAACCCTTATCTGGGTTTGAGAGAGAAAAATCGATTGGTTGCCTTCCATACACAACTGACTGAACCCTTAATCTGGGTTTATGCCCTGACCAGAATAATACTCTGCTATAGTCCACGATACTTCAGCATATCAGTCAACATAAATATTTTTACTAAAAATTGTGTACACATTACAAAAAAATAAAATAACTTACAAGGCAGTAACTTAAATAAAACATGAAATGGTTTCTGGTGGCGCTAGATGTCTGATTTTTAATGCTGCTTCTTCCCCTTCCCCCCTGCAGCAATTCTTTGAGGGAGAAGAAGGGAGAACTTCTATGCATGACATAACTACCGACAAACTAAGTATTTTGTTCCTAAAGCTGAAGGACCAGGAAGAAGTGATTAAGAAATTAAAAGAAGAAGTAGAACATTATGAAGTAAGTTTCAAAGCAAAGAATAAATAATTTAAACATCTTTAAATAAAGTTATAACTATCTAAAAGCTCAGATTAAGAATCAAGGAAATACAAGTAATGTATCTTGGGCATCTCTCTACAACATACGCCAGTCCAACCCTTTTCTGCTCAATGGCACATTCTAGAAAAGCCGTAATAGTTATAAATAAGAGCAGTAAATATGTTTTCGATTTTTAAAAATAATATATTTTTTAAAATAACCTATCTTCCACTGCAAAAAAATGTTCCCACTCTAGAGGAGCCTGTAAATAGACTTTTGTTTTAGTTCTGAAGATTCCCACCCTTTTTTACAGACCAGATAGTTTGAAAGTCACAAAACTATCTCCCCAAGTCAGAGGCTTCCATGAAGCCAGCTTGGAACAGGATGACCTTAAGGAGAAATGTCAAGAAGGAAACTTCTCAGAGGGTTTTCCCCCAGTTCTTCCTGTTGAAGTGGGAGCCAGGAGCTGTTTTACTGCTCAAAAGACTGATGGGAACAAACTGGAAAGAGAGAGAGCAAAAAAGAGAGCCTAGACTTCTGTCAAGGAGAAGAATTTTAAGGGCTGTGGAAAGTGTGGACCCTGAAGATGAACTCATTTTCATCTCAAGTCAGCTCTGAGCCACTGGGCTATCCTGGCTCAACCACAGCCCAAGCCATAGAGGGGTTTTATTCTGTCTAAGAGCAAGAACCTGATCGGGTGAGTAGGAGAGGCTTGCAGAGAGGCTGGGGGAATAACAACCTATTGAATATCAACTAGCACATGCTAGGTGCCTCATTAGTGGTACCTCTTTTTTCTTTTCCAATTGAATTTGTTGGGATGAGTTTGGTTCACAAAATCATACAAGGCTTCACGTGTACAACTCAACAAAACATCATCCGCACACTGCATTGTGTGCCCATCGCCCCAAGCAAACTCTCTTTCTGTCCCAATTCCCATACCCCTTTGCCCACCTCCACCTGCCCCAGCCCCTTTCCCTTTGGCTATCCCCACACTATTGTCTGTGTCTATGTGTTATATTTTGCTTAATCCCTTCTCCTTCTTTCATCAGTCCCCCAACCCCTTCCTCTCTGACAGCTGTCGCTCTGTTAC